ACTGTTTGCTGACTGAAGTCTCTGTATTTTAGTTTATTTTCTCACCAAGCTGAGCGAAGTCTCTGTATTTTAGTTTATTTTCTCACCAAGCTGACTGAAGTCTCTGTATTTTAGTTTATTTTCTCACCAAGCTGAGCGAAGTCTCTGTATTTTAGTTTATTTTCTCACCAAGCTGACTGAAGTCTCTGTATTTTAGTTTGTTTTCTCACCAAGCTGACTGAAGTCTCTGTATTTTAGTTTATTTTCTCACCAAGCTGAGCGAAGTCTCTGTATTTTAGTTTATTTTCTCACCAAGCTGAGCGAAGTCTCTGTATTTTAGTTTATTTTCTCACCAAGCTGACTGAAGTCTCTGTATTTTAGTTTATTTTCTCACCTCGCTGAGTGAAGTCTCTGTATTTTAGTTTGTTTTATCACCAAGCTGACTGAAGTCTCTGTATTTTAGTTTATTTTCTCACCTTGCTGAGTGAAGTCTCTGTATTTTAGTTTATTTTCTCACCAGGCTGACTGAGGTCTCTGTATTTTAGTTTATTTTCTCACCAAGCTGAGTGAAGTCTCTGTATTTTAGTTTATTTTCTCACCAAGCTGACTGAAGTCTCTGTATTTTAGTTTATTTTCTCACCATGCTGAATGAAGTCTCTGTGTTTTAGTTTATTTTCTCATCAAGCTGACTGAAGTCTCTGTATTTTAGTTTATTTTCTCACCAAGCTGACTGAAGTCTCTGTATTTTAGTTTATTTTCTCACCAGGCTGACTGAAGTCCCAGCTTTGTTAAAACAGTTATCAGTTATATTATAACATCAGGTAGGACAATAAGTTCAGAATGTCAACAGATTACATTAACTATAAGGCGAACAGAAGCAGCTTTACGTTTATACCATAAACACTAAGTAAATAATACACTGAACAACATACAAATATAATATGAACGAAAGTATACAAAAGCTTACATCAACAAAAACTCCAGGCATGGGATAGATTTGGGCAGAAGGTGTGTCTCGTGGTATGTACCGATAAAACTCTGTTTCATTTTTATACCACTTGATAGCGTACAACACATCCGTTTCTAAGTCATAGGTACAGTTCAGCCACATGGGGTCGCCCCTCAGTATCACTGGCGGCACGTGCAGGTTTACCAATCTGAGACAACAGCCACCTAGGAGAACGAAAAACAAATATTAAAAAAAAACAATAGTTAATAATTGTTTAATATTCATTATTAACAATAGCTAATAATTGTTTAATATTCATTATTAACAATAGCTAATAATTGTTTAATATTCATTATTAACAATAGTTAATCATTGTTTAATATTCATTATTAACAATAGTTAATAATTGTTTAATATTCATTATTAACAATAGTTAATCATTGTTTAATATTCATTATTAACAATAGTTAATAATTGTTTAATATTCATTATTAACAATAGTTAATCATTGTTTAATATTCATTATTAACAATAGTTAATCATTGTTTAATATTCATTATTAACAATAGTTAATAATTGTTTAATATTCATTATTAACAATAGTTAATCATTGTTCAATATTCATTATTAACAAATGTTCTTCCAATATTTTACTGATTTGTATGGTGATAGCAACTGTCAAAACATCATGATATTTTTCGACAAAACTGACAAAGAAATGTTTACTTCCTATCTCTACCCACATAAATTATGTTGTCATGTTTCTGTTTGTTTGTTTTTTGGCTCACTTTATTCTAACGATAACGCGGAACCACGCGTGCAGCGTTATTAACGTTACCATAACAACTGTCTATAATTTTATATGATATTAGTAGGCCTAACATAGCTTTGTATAGTTTAGTACTTTAAACCTGTATTATAATTTTCGGATGACGTCATATTGAAGTTATTCGTAACTAATATATTTAAATTTTAATATCTAGAGGGCGTTTCTGTATATACAGAGGGATGACGTCGTTAGATTAAACATATTTTGAATATACAAACCAGCCATTCACTTGATATTTACATACGATATGTAGTTGCAGTGGAACGTAATGTATCAGAATTACATTTCAGCATTATTTGGCGCTTGCAGAAAGTGTGATGCCACGTTTTAAAATTGATCGACTTTCGTTAGTGTAAACCAACCATTTTCGACACAAATTCTCACCACCATTAGTCAAAACCGCGAAGCCTGGATGGACAGCAAAACGTGGAACAAGAGAAAAGACGAAGATAAAATCATTATAGTATAATCTATGTCAGAACGTTAGGCGTACAATACTAGAATGTAATGCAATATTAATACAATTCAAACTTGAATATTGTAGAAATAAAATTCATATGAAGTCTCTGTCTTCCGAGGCTCTTGCCACGAGCCTTGCTGTCTCAGCTTTCCTGCTTCGCGTTCGCTTCTGCAATTAGCTTTTGTTTCTCTTGTGTAAGGAGTCTTGAATAACATCTGCCTAATTCCCTGCACGACATAAATCTGAATACGTTTGTTGTCCAGATCGAAGAATATCCTTTGGACTTAATGGCATTGTTAAACGTAGAAATATGGATCAATTTGGGGTTCCAGAACCACTTAGAAAAAGACCTGCAACTAATCGTACCTCAGCCGTGTTAAGAAATATGCCTTATCTTGAAGCAAGTAGGAATCCAATTATACAGATTTAGTGGCAAAAGTTGTTCACGTGCCTCAGGTATGAGTACGGTGGGTAATATTCATCTCAAAAAGGGATACATGTCACTTGTACACAAGTTGCTTTCACGGAATATATACTGAGTCATCTCATTCCTCAAGCAGCTGGATAATAAAACAGATACTCATGCTATTCCTTACGAAACATTCTTGTGAAGTCGCCGGATGCAGCATCTATGAAACTTTGTGAAATCGATCTGTTGAAACGGGCGATAGGAAACCTTATCCTCGTACATTAGACGGGTTATGGAAAGCTTTTAGGGAGGTGTTTTGTACTTTGACCATGACAGCCTTATGGCAGAGTTTTTATAATGGAAACTTTGCTGCAGAACTATCTCCTAGATACGCGATCTAGAATATAGTCGGGTGTGGCAACACGGACTTTAAGAAGTGGTGAGGCACCAAAATGAAATGGTCTTAATATAACGAACTGATACACTGTATACATGTGTAGCCAATTGCTAGCCATTTGGAAACGTTTTAGTTTTTTTTTTTATAGCCTTAATATGAACAGGAGATACAAAGGAGATATGTAAGATACAAAAGTCTAGAAATAATGAAGGCCACATAATTTAACTCGTTTGTTCTCACGTGTACGTTTGCAAAAGAGCAGATTTCACTACTAACTGTCACACGTTACAATGCGTGCACAGATTTCACGACTAACTGTCAAACTTTATAGTGCGTGCACAGCTTTCACTACTAACTGTCAAACGTTATAATGCGTGCTCAGATTTCATTACTAACTGTTAAACGTTACAGTGCGTGCACAGATTTCACTACTAACTGTCAAACGTTACAGTGCGTGCACAGATTTCAATACTAACTGTCAAACGTTACAGTGCGTGCTCAGATTTCATTACTAACTGTTAAACGTTACAGTGCGTGCACAGATTTCACTACTAACTGTCAAACGTTACAGTGCGTGCACAGATTTCACTAATAACTGTCAAACGTTACAGTGCGTGCTCAGATTTCACTAATAACTGTCAAACATTGCAGTGCGTGCACGGATTTCAATACTAACAGTCAAACGAAATCTGAGCACGTACTGTAATGTTTGACAATTAGTAGTGAAATCTGAGCACGTACTGTAATGTTTGACAATTAGTAGTGAAATCTGTGCACGCACTGTAACGTTTGAAAGTTAGTAGTGTTACAGTGCATGCCCAGATTTCACTACTAACTGTCAAACGTTACAATGCGTGCACAGATTTCACTACTAACTATCAAACGTTACAGTGCGTGTACAGATTTCACTACTATCTGTCAAACGTTACAGTGCGTGCACAGATTTCACTACTAACTGTCAAACGTTACAGTGCGTGTAGAGATTTCACTACTAACTGTCAAACATTACAGTACGTGCCCAGATTTCACTACTAACTGTCAAACATTACAGTACGTGCCCAGATTTCACTACTAACTGTCAAACGTTACAGTGCGTGCACAGATTTCACTACTAATTGTCAAACATTACAATACGTGCTCAGATTTCACTACTAACTGTCAAACGTTACAGTGCGTGCACAGATTTCACTACTAACTGTCAAACGTTACAGTGCGTGTACAGATTTCACTACTAACTGTCAAACATTACAGTACGTGCCCAGATTTCACTACTAACTGTCAAACATTACAGTGCGTGCACAGATTTCAATACTAACAGTCAAACGTTACAGTGCGTGCACAGATTTCACTACTAATTGTCAAACATTACAATACGTGCTCAGTTTTCACTACTAACTGTCAAACGTTACAGTGCGTGCACAGATTTCAATACTAACTGTCAAACGTTACAGTGCGTGCACAGATTTCACTACTAATTGTCAAACATTACAATACGTGCTCAGTTTTCACTACTAACTGTCAAACGTTACAGTGCGTGCACAGATTTCACTACTAATTGTCAAACATTACAATACGTGCTCAGTTTTCACTACTAACTGTCAAACGTTACAGTGCGTGCACAGATTTCAATACTAGCTGTCAAACAACAGTGTTTGCTCAGTTTTCACTACTAACTGTCAAACGTTACAGTGCGTGCACAGATTTCAATACTAGCTGTCAAACGTTACGGTGCGTGATATGTTAACAGATTAGATATCAGTAATACTTTCATACTGACAGGAATATTATTGTCAACACCGTGTTAATATTACAATGAGTATATAAAATCAAAGGACTGTGGACCTGTGAATAAGACGAAAATACTTTGTTTCTTATCGAGTAGTCTTAGTTTATAAAGAAAATTAAGTATATCATTGAAAAACTTTTACAAATAAAATCAGTTAAACACATTGAAACCAGTTCGTTTCCAGCGTTCAGATTAGACTAGGTTTTTGTTTGACTTTAGACATTAAATTCACTACGTAACTGATTAATATACTCTTACACTGATATAAAGTCAGAGAACCTGTAACAAGAAATAGTCTAACAAACACCATTAACTAAGTCATGAAATTTACAGCTAGTTGTTAATAAAAGTTAACCTTAAAACGATCAAAATACAAGTTGTATCGTTGTATCAAAATGTGTTTGTATAAAACTCAGGTGGATTTGTGAAGTATGAAGGGATTACTAATACTTTATTTAGTGAAATGTCTGCCTACCAATTCTATAAAACTACACTGTATTTAGTCAAATGTCTGCCTACCAATTCTATAAAACTACACTTTATTTAGTCAAATGTCTGCCTACCGATTCTATAAAACTACACTTTATTTAGTCAAATGTCTGCCTACCGAGTCTATAAAACTACACTTTATTTAGTCAAATGTCTGCCTACCGATTCTATGAAACTACACTTTATTTAGTCAAATGTCTGCCTACCGATTCTATAAAACTACACTTTATTTAGTCAAATGTCTGCCTACTGAGTCTATAAAACTATACTTTATTTAGTCAAATGTCTGCCTACCGAATCTATAAAACTATACTTTATTTAGTCAAATGTCTGCCTACCGAATCTATAAAACTATACTTTATTTAGTCAAATGTCTGCCTACCGAATCTATAAAACTATACTTTATTTAGTCAAATGTCTGCCTACCGATTCTATGAAACTGTACTTTATTTAGTGAAATGTCTGCCTACCGATTCTATAAAACTATACTTTATTTAGTCAAATGTGTGCTTACCGATTCTATAAAACTACACTTTATTTAGTCAAATGTCTGCCTACCAATTCTATAAAACTATACTTTATTTAGTCAAATGTGTGCTTACCGATTCTATAAAACTATACTTTATTTAGTCAAATGTCTGCCTACCGATTTTGTAAAATTACACTTTATTTAGTCAAATGTCTGCCTACTGATTCTATAAAACTACACTATATTTAGTCAAATGTCTGCCTACCGATTCTATGAAACTACACTTTGTAGAAATTCTATGTATACACATTACGTAAATATATACATATATATTTACGTAATGTGTATACATTTCTCGCCATTTTTGTTATTGTTTTAGCGATACCTCCTCTTGC